AAATCAATTTTGATGGAAAAAATCAACGCAAAATAGTGATTTTTGGCAATTTTGAGATGTCCCCTCATTGCCATGGTAACAGAAAATTTAAGCCTGAGCATGTTGTTGCAAGGGCAATGGTCCAGTCAACATTTGTGCCAAGTTTGATTAGTGTTGAAGCAGTTTTTATAGTATTATAGCAATTTGAACTTGTAACGGGAGACTTTTCAATGAAAACAGACATTTTTCACAAAATGCTCATGAAGTAATGGGTTAAATATGATATGTATCAATGTGAAAACCTTAAACAGTATTCTTACTATGCTGAACTTGCCCTCCCTTGAATTTGGAACTGTCAAATATTGGGTGTTTTAAACAAGAGGGCCGAGATGGCCCTAGATTGCTCACCTGACCCATCAAACTCTTCTGAGCAACTACTTAGACAAGCATCCTGACAAGTTTGATGACAATTGAGTAAAAAATGTGACCTCTAGAGTGTTCACAAGGTTTTTCCATATTTGAGCAGTGACCTATTTTGGGCCCAAGGTGACCCAGAGATCATCAAAACAAACTTGCAGACCAATTTCCATGATATTTGTATAACAACAGTAGCCACTAGAGAGTGAACAAGATTTTTCTCTTTTTAGCTCCTGTGACCTAGTTTTTACTTAGATATGACCCATATTCGAACTCCTCCAAGCAATTAATGACTAGACAAGCATCCTGACCAAGTTTAATGACAATAGAGTCAAAAATGTGACCATTTGAGTGTTCATATTTGGGCCTTGTTACCTAGTTTTTAATCCCAGGTAACCAATAATTGAGCTTGACCAAGAAATCATCAAAACAACCTCCCTGACCAATCTCCAGAATATATAGATCAAAACTGCAGCCACTAGAGTGCTAACAAATTTTTTTGTTTTTAGCTCCTGTGACCTAGTTTTTGACCGGAGATGACCCATATTCTACCTTGACCTAGTAATTATCAAAACAACCTTCCTAATAAATTTCCAGGATATTTGTATCAAAACTGTGACCTAGATTTTGACGGGAGATGACTCATATTAAAACTTGACCTAGAAATCATCAAAACAACCTTCCTGATCAATTTCCAGGATATTTGGATCAAAACTGCAGCCACAAGAGCATTTACAAGATTTTTCTATTTTTAGCTCCTGTGACCTAGTTTTTGACCATAGATGACCCATATTTGCTCTTGACCTAGAAATCATCAAAACAATCTTCCTCATCAATTTCTAGGATATTTGGATCAAAACTGCAGCCACTAAAGTGTTAACAAGATTTTTCTATTTTTAGCTCCTGCGGCCTAGTTTTTGGCACGAGATGACCCATATTCTAATCTGTATTTCATTGAGACAAACATTTTGACAAAATTTGATTATGAATCCAATGAAAACTGTGACTGCTAGAGTGTTAAAAACCCAAATGTTGAAGCTGTATGACGCACAACTCCGCGGTCAGGTGAGCTAAAAATATTTCAGTATTCATGCATCAGTAACATCAACACTGCAGATAGGGAACATTAATATGAGCCGTGTCACGACAAAACCAACATAATGGGTTTGCTACAAGCATGGATCTAGACCAGCCTGCGCATCCGCGCAGTCTGATCAGGATCCATGCTGTTCGCTAACAAACTCTATTACAAATAGAGAAACTGATAGCGAACAGCATGGATCCTGATTAGACTGGGCGGATGCGCAGGCTGGTCTGGATCCATGCTGGTCGCAAACCCATTATGTTGGTTTTGTCATGACGTGGCTCATATACACTTGAATGGAAACTTGTTCTAGACTAAAAAAACAACCTTTCAACTTGTGGAGAGACCATATTATTCAGGAAATTTATCTGAAACAAGTCTAATTATATTTATTGTCCCCGATGATTACAAAGTACAAGGAAATGTTATAAAAATCTTATTCAAGTTATTCAAGTTGTCATTTCCCAGAAAATATAATCCTACAGTTTTAATACATTTCCGTTTCAAAAAGTTTTCAAGGAAGTTAACGTGTATAAAATTATATATAAGTTGATACTTTTTTTCAAGATAATTGTTAATTTTTCTATATTATTTCGACATACAACATTCAAAGTAAGTTTAAAACCTTATTTCTTAATACACAATTTTTCATTTATACAGAACAAATTATGTAAGAAAGTAGTTCAAGCAATATTTTAGACAGTGCTTTTAATTTTTGTGCCTCCCTTTCATCAATCTCAAAAAAAGAAAATATTTGTTTAAAAAAATTATGTATTTTAATTAAACAGAAATATAAATAATTATGTTTTACATTATAATGTATTTTTACAATAAATATCTAATAATTATCTAATAATTAATATCTAAACCAAATTATTTATCTTATGTTTCATTAGGTCCAGATTGGCACTCCTATTCTGTTCTGTTCTAGGACATAAAGGACAAATAAGTAACAAGTAGAAGTATGTGATAAAATCAATTTGACTGCTGACTATAACAATTTTCTCTTTACTAATATATTACAGAATGTTTCAAGAGCCTGACTACAGAGAAAACTTATCATTGATGTTATCAGATGTTTTACATGACATTGGTGTCAATGAAAGAACTGTGATGGGAAGGAGAAGACATTACATGCTGCTAGACACTATGTGGAATATCCAGAACAGGCTAACTGATAGAAACTTAACTTGCTATTCTCTAGGGAGTCAGAGTGAAGGTACAACTACTAGAGGACTTGATTCAGACATTGATGTACTAGAATCTTATAATAATTTCAATATAATACAAGACTGGTCAGAGTGGGAACATGGCAAGAGTAACTTCCTCATGATACAGGATGAGAACACTACTCCTGGGTATTGTTTCTTACAACAACTCAGAGTTGATGAACCTCTTCCTCTCACTGTCATTCCTGATGAATATTGTATTCTTGACAGAAGAGGAAGAATATTGCAGAAAAACACAATTATAAATCATTTTCTTGAAGGAAATCAGCAGCGGCATGGACCAGCTATTGCTTCACAAGGAGAACCTGGAGTTTATGATAAAGACAGAGTATTTGCTTTTCATTGTAAATCATGGCCTCAATCAGCATCAGGTTGGTTAGATAGACAGGGTATTGGCAGATGGCCAACACAAGAGATGAGAAGATATGCAGCCAGTACTGGATTTTTTGTTGTTCCAACTGGAAGTAAGGTCAGTGAATATCCTGAACTGGAATGGAGAATATCTACATCATTAACAGAAAGATGTCTTATGATTAATCTAAATATAACACAAATAAGGTGCTATGTACTATTGAAAATGATTCTTAAGTCCTTCCTTAATCCTCAAAATGAAATCAACATATCAAGTTTCATGTGTAAAACAGTTCTATTACATTGTATAGAAAACACAGAGTCAGGTATATGGAAAGATAACAATTTATGTACATGTTTAATATACTGCTTATTGAAATTACAAAGTTGTGTACAAAATGAGTGTTGTTCACATTTCATTATACCGGAAAATAATTTGATGGCAGGGCAATTTACAGCTGACACAAAACATGAACTTTCAAAAAATATTTGTGATTTTATACAGAATGATAGACAACGGTTACTTAGTATTGATATTGATGATGTTGGTCATAGACTTCAAGTTAAACTGAACAGGGTACCACATGCAATTAACTATTTTCCTTCTCTTGAAATAAATGAAACTGTTATGACGGGGTTATATATAGACATTGCAAACTGACATAAGTTATCAGCATAAGCAAATTTTAGAACATTTACACAATAAAAACTTTAGAACAATAAAACAATATGTAGGTAAACTAACTACCTTCAATGATAATGGTAATAGATTACATCATGCTGCTTTCAAGTTTCTAGCACCTTTTTATTTTACCACATATGGATCTATCCTAGCATCTTACAGAATTGGTGAAAATAATCAAGTGTCACCTCAAGCATTGGTTTGGCTATCAGCTGGTTTAAACTCAGATATCTCATCTAGCAGACTTAAACTGGCTTCAGTGTTTTACAGTACAGGAGAAATGGAGAAAGCTGAACTAATTCTGAGGCACACAGAACAACAATATTACTCCTATCCTGTTTTACCTATCTGTGGATGCAATATTCAGCCCCTTGAAGCAGTAACAGAAGAATTCGAGAGATTATGTGGTGAGCAAAGTGTGAACTGTATCAAGCATATTACAGCATTTTGTGTCAGATTTATACAGGGAGAGATCAACTGTGTTCCTCATGAACTACAATATGAAATGTTCAGATCTACACAAGATGACATGATACACAGACATGAAATTAAAGACTGTTGGATGGACATGGCTGTAGTTGACTCTCTACCTTTCTTGTATTTCCTACAATACAAGATCTATCGTCATCTACAAAGACATCAAGATCAACAACAAGCACTTGGTAAACTTATCAGAACCATAGAAACAGATGTAAACCTCAGACATAGAGAAACAGCTCTAAACATTTTAGGACAATGTATGGAACAAGAAAACAGACCTCAAGTAGCATTAAAATGCTACATGCTTTCTCTTCGACAAAGGGCAAGGAACAATGCTGCAAACATCCATATATGTAAGCTCCTTTCTGGCTTACTGGCTATCCAATAAACTTAGATAAAAAAAAAGAATGTATGAAGACTTTAGTTTTCAATGATATCAAACAGCTAAAATGACAAAATATAGGCCCGTCGTTACACTTTTTATCACATATTATTTTGTGATAATAATTACTTATAATAACATTAAACAAGTTAAATTGAAAGAATGATTCCAACTTCATTGACTTAGAATATCTGACTTTACATTTAAGAGTTAAGAGCATATTGTGTAGAGGACCAGTATTGCTTGTGAAAATGTATTTAAAATATTGGTTTATAAGGTGAAGTTTTTTCAAAGCTTTTTTTTATACAGTAGTCAAAACAGTTTTAGCTTCTATTGTTGGCAATATTTATTAAAAGTCTTGTTTTATAAATGTTTCTTGTAGTTCTTGTTCTTATTTTATAGTTTGTACCCTGTATACATCTGTATATAGTCAAGTGCTTATTTTATATATGTACCCTGTATATTAAATGACCCTGTTTAATGCAGTAATCAGCCACAATTGTCTCAGGTCAATAAAAATAATGAAACAGTCAACTGTAGAATGTACAAAACAATACAAGAGGGCACATAATGGCCCTATATCACTCAACTAAATTTCTAGAAAAAGTCACAATTCTTAAATGCTAAAGCAAGTCATTTGAAGGGATCAATTTTTGGATCAAAGATGTATGATTAAATCAATTTGTATAGGTGTTCACTAGGCAATGCTATTATAATAGAAGATTTTTTGTTGTTTTTACTATATAAATGTGAGGAAAATCAATGACCCCCTGGGGCAGGGGCCAATTTTGACCCAAGGGCTATAAATTTGAACAAGAGCCATATCAACATGGCCATCCCCCGCTGAATGTGTTTGCTCATTGGAAGAATGTATATATTGTAGAGCAGAATAATTCAATTTTAAGAGGTCTTTTAGTAATTAAAACTGATGGCTGAAGTGATTACAGATTTGAAACCTATGTGAATACTGATGGCTGACAATAACAAAGGCCATAACTGAAAAATAATGCAGGATAGGTTATCATTCTTGTGTGCTGCACCCCTCCTCAGTAAAATCTATCCACCTATGAAGTTTCAAGTTCATACCTTAAATACTTTTTGAGATAAGCTCCCTACAAAAGAGTATGAAAAAGAACAATGGGCAATAACTAAAAATTATATAGGGAAGAGTTATCATTCTTGCGCACAGCATTCCTCCTCAATAAGATCTATCCACCTATGACATTTCACGTTGACACCTCAAACACTTTTGAGTTATGCTCCACTTATGTGAAAAATTAAGTATGAAAAATAACAACTTTAGGGCAATAACTCAAAAATTATGAATGGTAGAGTAATCAATCTTATGCACTGCACAAGTCCTGAGTGAGCTCTTTGCACCTATGAAGTTCCATGTTGATATCTCAAAGGCATTTTGAGTTATGCTCTGGACAAAAATTAATTTTGAAAAATAACAAATGGCAATAACTCAAATATAATGCAGGGTAGAGTTATCATTCTTGTGCACTGCACTCCTACTCAATGAGATCCATCTACCTATGAAGTTTCAAGTTGATACCTCAAATACTTTTTGAGATAAGCTCCCTACAAAATAGTATGAAAAAGAACAATAACTCAAAAATTATATAGCCAAGAGTTATCATTCTTGCGCACAGCATTCCTCCTCAATAAGATCTATCCACCTATGACATTTCATGTTGATATCTCCAACACTTTTTGAGTTATGTTCCACTCAGGTGAAAAATTAAGTATGAAAAATAAAGGGAAATAACTCAAAAATTATGAAAGGTAGAGTTATCACTCTTGTGCACTGCACACCTCCTGAGTGAGATCTATGCACATAAGAAGTTTCATGTTGATATCTCAAAGGCTTTTTGAGTTATGCTCTGGACAAAAATTAATTTTGAAAAATAACAAAGGGCAATAACTCAAAAATTATGCAGGTAGAGTTATCATTCTTGTGCACTGCACCGCTATCCACCTATGAAGTTTCAAGTTGATACCTCAAATACTTTTTGAGATATGCTCCAGACAAAAATGTCGGACGGAAGGATGGACGGACGGACGGAAGGACAGACGGACGGAGACTATTTCTATATCCCCCGCCGAAAAGGATAAATTTTTTTATATGAATTGTGATTATTATTATTGTCAATGACCGAATTTCAAAGAAATCAGCCGAATAGATTGAAGTTATAATGGTTATAGTGGTTTCATATATTATGAAATAACTAACCTTAAGACCGAGTTGAACCCATCTCCGGTATTTACCCTCATGAAACACTGGTTCCACTAGTGGTTCCCATACGGACATTTTCTCGTTGTAATAAGCCACTTCCAGCAAAAGTCTACTCTCTACATATAGCTGAAATAACAAGACAATATAAAACAAGAAAAGCATTGATGCAAAGCATCAAAGGGCGTCCAAGCAAGAAATGCAGGAAGTGAAGATGAACTAGTAGACATAATTATGATGACAACTTTTCAATTGTTAATTTGTTTTTACCAGAATAGTATATCACTTATCAATGAACGGACGAAAGACTTTGTCCATTATGAACTTTGATTGGCATGTTAGAGATTAGAATATTACTTGTTATTTCTTTAAGATCGTGATTATCAATAGCAACGGATATACATGTAAACAATCATTTATAATCCATATGTGTAACGTATGATCAACAGCACACTTGTGTAATTGTCCCTCATTATGTTATCGCTATTAGCGAAGACCCCTCTTAAGGTACAGTGTAAATTCCGAATTCCGGAACTTCTGAAATCCGGAAACTTCTAAAAACCGAACAATTATTTCGGTCCCGATTTTTTCCCTTCTATTTTCTATTAATATAATACTTCTGAATTCCGGAACTTCTAAATTCTGAATTCCGGACGATATTTTTGTAGAATTAGAGTCAAATCAATGCAATTTTACCTCCGAAAACCGGAAATATCCAAAGGTGTGAAATACATTGTAAATCGAGAATGTTTACCCTGCAGGAAGATTTAATCTCCCTATCGATTGTTTACTAATTAGCGGTGATCGTGTAATTTGACACGCGTTAAAATCACAAACTGTGAAAGTGATGCGGTTAATCAAAGTAATTTACCGCGGTCAGTTAATTTGAAGTGTTTATCAGCGGATTAAATCACAATTAGTTGGGACAATGTATGCATCAAACGTCTTTAGGGATTTTTATTGCATTTGATGTAACAATTAATTAACTAGCATCGGACGATATGTAAGTTTATGCAATTAACAACATTTCTACAAACTGATAGAAATTCAAAAGCATTTGCAGGTGTAAGATAAAAATGTATTTTTTTCATTCACATCTTTATCTTGATTAAAAGACTATTATATATGATATTACAGTTATGGCCACATCTTCCTTGACATTTAGTGATATTAAGTGGCTTAGTTTCGTCCACATTATCATAAACCTTTGAATTCCGGAAACCTCTGAAATCCGAACTTTTTGACAAGTCCCATGGGTGTTCGGTTTTCGGAAGTTACACTGTATCTGTTCACACTTAGTAAAAATATGACACTGGTTATATTACCATGTTGATCATGCTGAGCATAATTGTTTATTATACAATAATTATACATGTAATATCTATTTTAATAAAAAAAATACAGATTTTTTGAATATTGTTTTCTTTTCTTTTTTGTGTTTTATGTGCTATTTCAATACTGAGATTTTACGTTTTCTACCATTTTTTTTATTAAATTGTAAAATAAGTTTTAAGAATTCAATTGTCATATTGACCGATGATTATAAGTCAAAACTTAACTGGAAAAAGTCAGTAAATTATGGTTAATCTTTCAAGATATAATATTGCTTATTCTTAAACAATGTACATGTACATTCGTATTTTTCTTTATTATTTTTTAAATTATCAATCAATTGAATAATTCATATAATCTAATTTGTAACTTTGAAAATTCCTCGGCATCTTTACTAAACACGAATAACAAATTAAATAAAATGTTTCAAAGTTGATATTTGTTCTGTTCTGTAACGATATCAAACATCTACTCCAAATCCGGGAGAGACCGGACAATAAACGTGTGATACTGTTCGCCGGTCACTAGTAAATCCCGGTCAAAATAGACCGGAAGAGACCGGGATGTTCTGATAGGAGTACATCCCTCTATAAATAGATTTTCGGAATGTTTAATCATCAACTCACCATTCTATTTATAGCTTTCGGATAAATGTACAACAATAACGTACTATGAACTACAAAATGATCAATATAAAGCCCCGAAGAGTGCGATTTATTGACGGAAAAGGTTATTTCATTTGAAAATGTTTGCATTGCAAAATTCTCCAGTTCGCTATTCATGGTACATATCGCGACATTATAATCAAGCAGCCTCATACCGATCGGAATAATCGGCTTTTATTATGACCGACTAAAAGGCTCGAGAAGTTGCTGTCGCCCTTTCACAAAATCTGATTTCATTCCATAAAGGGGCGCCGCGCTTTGGCGCGGACGCCAATCAGAAATTTCTTCATACCATTTTTGTTGCCATATGACGTAATGCAGAAAATTTATTTGAAGTTTTGACGACCAAGATATCTCAGAATTCTATCGTATTCATGAACAAGAGCCACCGCCGGGCGGGGACAACGCTCGACTTTTTACCTTCTCTAAAAGCAAACAAAGAAATGTTTGAAAAAAAAACTTAACGTTTCCTTTTTATAAAATTAATCATTCTGTCTTGTCACATTAGTTTTGTCTATATATTTTTTATATATAAATATACTAATTTATATATATATAAATAGAGACACGCAATTCTATAAATAGAAAATTCTATAAATAGATACACGTGGTGGAGAAACTTGGTGGAGACACGTGGTGGAGTCACGTGGTGGTGTCACATGGTGGAGTTTCGTGGTGGAGTCACATGGTGGAGTCAAGTGGTGGAGTCATGTGGTCGAGACATGTGGTGGAGTCATGTGGTGGTGTCACGTGGTAGAGTCACGTGGAAGTCACGTGGTGGAGTCACATGGTGAAGTCACGTGGTGGAGTCACGTGGTGAAATCACGTGGTGAAGTCACATGGTCGAGTCACGTAGTGGAGTCACGTGGTGAAGTCATGTGGTGGTGTCACGTGGTGGAGACACTTGGTGGAGTCATGTGGTGGAGTCACGTGGTGGAGTCTTGTGGTGGTGTCACTTGGTTGTTTAACATGGTTGTGTAACGTGGTGGAGTCACGTGTAGGAGTCACGTGGTGGAGTCAGGCGGTGGTGTCACGCGGTGGAGTTGCGCGGTGGAGTTGCGCGGTGGAGTCGCGCGGTGGAGTCGCGTGGTGGAGACACGTGGTGGTGTCACGTGGTGGTGTCTCGTGGTGGTGTCACGTGGTGAAGTCACATGGTGAAGTCACATGGTGAAGTCACGATAAACAACAAGGTCTTGTCCTTTAGTGTTCTGTTATAATATGAAGTTGATCCCTTCAATAATAGCAAAGTTTCAGCCAGTTACAGCCAAAACAAAGTCAAGGCCATTAATGAGTGAAGGTCAAGGTCTGTTGGGTTATTTTTTAAGGGTTATCCTTGAAGATTATTATGTTCAAGTTTGAAGACAATCCATTCAAAAATAACAAGCAAATTCGTTGAATTTATATCCCCCGCTGAGTACTGGTTATTATTAACACAACAACTGAAGACATAAGGCTTTATTTATATATTAATCATGGCATAAACTGTAATATTCTTTGAACTTGAAGCCTTGTACCTTCAAACAAGAAAACAAGAAGAATTTTTAAGTTTTCACTATATACATATAAGGAAAATCTATGACCCCCTGGAGTGGGGCCAATTTTGACCCCAGGGCTAAAATTTGAACAATTTTGGTAGAGGACCTATAGGTTATATCATATACCAAATATCAAAGCTCTAGGCCTTGTACTTTCAGACAAAATTTTTTAATTTTGCATTTTTGAAACTCCTTTTCTGGCCCTGTGACCTACTTATGCAACAGACCGAAACCATTTGATCAACTTTGGCAGGGGACCACCCTAGGATCATTCCTGTAAAGTTTGATTGCTGTGCAGTCATTTGTTTCTGAGGAGATGTTGTTTAAAGAAATTGCTGACGACGCACAACGAAATTTTCAAATATCTTTAAATGTTATTGTAACAAATCATTTTAATTCTTCTTTAATAAAAACTAGAACTGTGTTCATAGGACACGGGTGCCCCCACCGCGCCACTGTTCTGTCAATCTTATGACTCTAGGTCAAATATTTTTTGAAAACTAAAAATCTTTTTACTAAGTAAAGGGCAAGAACTTTACAAATACTGAATAAAACCCCAAGTTGAAAATTGCAAATTTATACTACTGTAATGCAAGGGCAATAACTCTAACAAAACTGAAAAAAATCCACATGCAAAGTCCCAAGTTCATAGCTTCACAGTGAGGTGAATCATTATTCCTTAAATTTAGTGATGTTGATCATTATTCCTGTAAAGTTGGTCGATTCTAACTCAAGCACTCAAGAATCAAATAACAACATAATGAAACAGTTTTTACTAAGTTAAGGGAAATAACTCTACAAATACTGGATAAATCCACAAGCGAAACCCCAGGAACAAACTAAATATCCTGAACAACTTTCCAATAAGGTTTAATGACTCTATGTCAAATCCTTTTTGAGTTACATGCGACACATGTTGAAAATTGCAAACATTTTCTAAGTCAAGGGCAATAACTCTAAAAATACTAAATAAATCCAGACGAAAATACCCAGGTGCACAACTACACATGCTGATCAACATTCCTGTAAAGTATCATGACTCTAGGTCAAATACTTTTTTAGTTACATGCGACACATTGAAAATTGCAAAATTTTACTAAGTCAAGGGCAATAATTATAAGTCTAAAAATACTAAAAATATTCAGACGAAAATACCCAGGTGCACAACTACACATACTGATCAACATTCCTGTAAAGTTTCATGACTCTAGGTCAAATACTTTTTGAGTTACATGCGACACAAGTTGAAAATTACAAAATTTTACTAAGTCAAGGGCAATAACTCTAAAAATACTAAAAATATCCAGACGAAAATACCCAGGTGCACAACTTCACATGCTGATCAACATTCCCATAAAGTTTCGTTAAATTCCAGCCATTAGTTGCAGAGAAACGAAATTCGGACGGACGAATGGTCGGACGGATGTCCGGCCGAAATGGAATAAAGGGCCATTTCTTTTGTTATTTTCTATTGTTTAATAAAGGGCCAATGGCCCTTTACTCTATTGTTACCGAATGAACTCTATTATTCTCTTTTGTTCTGTTTACAGTTAGATGGCCCTCTATCCTTATTCAGTAGTGTGGACGGACGGACAACGCCAAAGCTATATCCCCCTCCCGATTCCATCGGCGGGGGATAACAAAGTTACAGCCAATAATAACCAAAAACATGAAAATTTCAATAATTTGACCTTCAAAGTCAAGGTCATTTATGAGTGAAGGTCTGTCGGGTTATTTTTAAGGGATATCCTTGAAGATTATTATGTTCAAGTTTAATGACAATCCATTCAAAAATAACAAAGTTACAGCCAATAACAGCATGAACAAGCAAAATTTGGACTTTTAACCTTGAAGGTCAAGGTCATTTATGGATGAAGGTCAAGGTAAGTGTGGTTTACTGAAAGGTCTTGTCCCAAGGGTTGTTGTGACTAAGTATGAAGACAATACACCAAGAAATAAAAAAGTTATGATCCAGGTACAAGTTTGCGGACGGCAACACCGCCGCGACTATAACAATACCTCTACTCTTTTTCTTTTTTTAAAAATAAAAAACAACAAAAAGTCGAGCTAAAAACTGATAAAATATTTTGCATATTGGTGCTATAAAAAAATCTGCTGCATATGTATAAAAGAATTTGACAATTCACATGAATCTGGTGTTTATATGGATTTTTGCATTCATGTATCTTGTCTATTATATCATATAGAATATTTACACCCTAAAAATGGCTCCTACTTTTGGCAAGGGAGGTAAATATTGTATAAATCAGGAACTATCTACAGTATAGTTACCTTTCCTGACCAGTCCCTGACTTCACCTTGGAATGACATCTCAGTGATAAGTAACGGTACAGTTCGGTTACCAACACCTCCCTCGATCTTTACCACTATTGATGGAACTTTCAATATCATCTGAAAAACATAACTCCTACATAATGCAAAAAATGCACAAAGTAAAACAAGAAACAATAGAAAAATGTCAGAAACAAATCGGTTAAAAGGTCATTAAGATAATAACATTAATCATTCATTTTCATGCCCTAGAAAATTCAATTTGTAACATCAAAGTCATGTTTGCAAATTAGCCTTTTATCTTTATAACATATCAATATATTTCAATATAAACATTAAAAATCATGTCTGTTATATTACCATTCATGTCTGTTATTTTAACATTCATGTCTGCTATATTAACATTCATGTCTGTTATATTACCAAATATGTCTGTTATATTACCATTCATGTCTGTTATATTAATATTCATGTCTGTTATATTACCATTCATGTCTGTTGTATTACCATTCATGTCTGTTATATTAACATTCATGTCTGGTATATTATCATTCATGTCTGTTATATTACCATTCATGTCTGTTATATTAACATTCATGTCTGTTATATTACCATTCATGTCTGTTATATTAACATTCATATCTGTTATATTAACATTCATCATGTCTGTTATATTACCATTCATGTCTGTTTCCAAAATATCCATGTTTGTTACCAAGATACCCATGTTTGCTGCACAGAAATTCATACCAATAACAGTGCCATTCATAACAATAATGTAACCATTCATGTCTCCAGCATTAAAATTTATGTGAATAACAAATGATTGTAGCATAGTCATATTAAGTTTTGAAACATAAACATTCATATTAAAGGCCCATTAAGGCTAAGAAATGCACACATTTTTTTCTTTTTCAAAAGCTTGATATTTTTGGTATCCGGTTTCATTTTTTTCAAAAAGTTATTCATTGGCCATATTGCTGAGCCATCTTTTGTTTCTGTTACTTTTTGGCAATTAGTAAAGATATAGTGATTATGTATTTTGTATAGGAGTCAAAATACCAGTTTGTTTACATTTTGCTTCTAATATCACAGACTATTTCACATTTAGTGCTGTTTTTCAGCTGTTAAGAATCTTACATGTTCTAAATCCATTGTCACAACACTATAAAATAAATGTTTGAACTTTCTATGGAAAGAAAAATATATTAATTTCTAAGGCTTAATGCGCCTTTAATTCATGCATCAACTTAAACTTACTCATAACAGATTATGTTACTATATTTATAGAACATAAAACTATATACATGTATATCATACTATGTTGCTATTATATATTAATAGAATATAAAAGTATAAACATAATAGTTAACACATGTATTCACCTATCATACATAATAACAAACTCAAATAAAAATATTTTCTACATTCTCCAACAAAAAAATTATCTCATTCAAACAGAAAAATGACCATAAATACTAAATATACATGTAGAACAAAGAGCAAATGGCATAAGGGAGGTAACTGGGTTAAATCTTTTATTTTCCTCAAGATTTGTGGTGAAGTAGAATTGTTCTAAAGTAACAATATCAAGACTGTGAATTATTGTTTTAAACAGAACTACCGTGTTGTATATTATAATTATTCCCATTCTAAAGGTCATGTTCTTGACCTTTTGTTCTTGACCTTTTGTCCTTGACCTTTAACCTGCTGTTACAAACAGTGATTAGACTTTGTTACCACATCAAGAGTATGAAGCACAACTAATCAGTCTGCAAATCTACACAATCTGATCAGGCTCTATCCTGTAGTAAGCTCAATATTTGTATTTTGATATTTAAACCCCTTAAACTTTGATGGACTGTTCCAAATTTTGAATCAGGGCAAATCCATTATTCAAAGTCAATAGGTTAATGGTTAAGAATAGAAGAAAGCTTAAAATCCATGTAAAATTGTTGGGGTTTGGTCCAAAAACTGCATTTTTCTTTATTCCAAGTCTACAGTGCTTTTACTAAAAGAAAAGAAAATTGAAGTGACTAATTGTTATTACTGTGTTGATTTTAATTTTAAAGTGTGATGTAAAAAAAAGAAAAATTATGGTTCGTTCTTCAACGTCTACAGCAGACTTAACAGCTAGCGTAACACCCAATGTTTGTTTGTTTGTTTGGATTTTACGGCACGTCAACACATAACTGGCCATATCGTGCCGAATGCTATAATAGGCTTAAAATATTATGTAAAACATTGTAAATGACAATTAAAATGAGCCAATTAGATCCTAGAATACAAGTTTATCTCTTTTAAATAATCAATTATGTTTTTTGATGGAATTGTATTAAAAAGTTCTTTGAGTGAATTTACAGAATAAAATCTATTACGGGCCTGTGAAAAATCATGACATTCAAGAAGAAAATGCTTGACAGTAAAATTTTCATTACAACCTACACAGAAAGGGGCATTGTCATTTGTGAGGAGATAAGAGTGGGTAATTTTAGTGTGTCCAATCCGGCATCGAAGAAGAACTGTTTGATCACGGCGGTTTGACAGAGATAGAGATGGTGACATATCAAGAGATGGGTTTATATCGTGAAGTTTATTAAAAACGGCATTGTCCCAATTTGCTTTCCATTCAGATGATACGAGTTTATTTATAGCCGGTCTAAAATCACAAGCAGGTAACAATAAGTCAGTTTTTTGAAAATTTAATGATTGTTTAGCTAAAGCATCTACTTTTTCATTTCCTCGTATTCCTACATGGCTTGGAATCCAATATAATTTAACATATTTTGTTTTTAGTATATCATGAAATCGCAAAAGAAGTTTCTTTACCATGATATTGTCAGATTTTTTATTTTTAATGGATATTAAAACAGAAAGCGAGTCAGAAAATATCACAAATTTATCGTGGGTATGCTGTGCTATGTATGACAATGCTAGATCGATAGCTTTTGCTTCAGCAGTAAAAATTGATGCATTATCTGGTAACCTCATACTAGATGTAAAATTATTTTCAAACACAGCCGCACCTACTTTGCAACCTTCTTTTGAACCGTCCGTATAAATATGTATAAAATCTTCATGTTCTTCCTTAATTGCTAAAAACTTCTCTTTGAAATATTCAGGTGAATTTGATGCCTTTTTTATATTTGAAAGGTTAATATTTATCTCCGGGGAATTATAAGTCCAAGGTGGAACATCCTCATCGTCATTTTGAAGGATACTGTCTGGATTAATTTTAAGTGTATCTAAATCATCTTTTAAACGAAGGCCTAGTGGTTTAATTTCCTTTGGTTTGCTAACAAATTTTTCAGTATAATTTGGTTTGAAAATAATATTTTTAGCTGGATTTTTCCTATTAGATGAAATTCTAGTTGCATATTGAAGTGATAGTTTTTTTACGTCGAAGATAAAGCGATGGTTCCCCAGCTTCCGCATATAGACTTTCTACAGGTGAAGTGCGAAAAGCACCTAAAGCTAAACGTAAACCCTGGTGATGTATGGTATCTAGCATATGAAGATATGATTTTCTTGCGGACCCATATACTACAGAACCATAATCTAATTTTGATCGGATAAGACTTCTGTATAATTTCAGTAATGTGGAAGAATTTGATCCCCAATTTGTACTTGATAAAACCTTAAGTAAATTTAAAGCTTTTAGGCATTTAGTTTTCAAATGTTTAATATGTGGTATAAAAGAAAGTTTTTTATCAAATATAATTCCTAGAAACTTAGCTTCATCAACTACTGGAATTTTAGAACCAGATATGTAAAGTTCAGGGTCATTATGTTGTTTTCGCAATCGGCAGAAATGAACACATTGAGTTTTTGACTTTGAAAATTTAAACCCATTTTCTATTGCCCACTTCTGAATTTTATCTAAATTTTGTTGAAGTTGCCGTTCAATTGTTCTCATACTTTTCGATCGATAGCAGATAAGAAAATCGTCTACATATAGAGAACAATCACCCCAATGTAACAGCAGGCATAACAGATGTAATGGCAGACATAACAGCAGACGAAACTAAAGGAAGTGTCTGTTATTAAAAATGTATGAGGAACTGAGGGAAAGAGAACTGAGGGGGTTCTCATTAAACACAGTAGACTGTTACAGGTAGGGTAATCTTATGTCTGAGTTCAGTTCACTAAAGTACTGTAAAATCATTATTATTCGTGGGGCACGAATTTTCGTGGTTTTCTTGGTTAGGCCAATCCACGAATTTAAGATCCGACGAACTTTTATCCCAACAAATACTTCGTACCCATTCTCTGTTCCATATATTTCGTGAAAGGGATATATTTACAGGCAGATAATCAGGTTAGTGACATATTAAATCTGTTTGCAATATTTAAGGAACTTGAAAGAAAACTCGATTTTATGTCCTCAATTTACTGTCACAAATGTCGCATATACATACTTGATCGTTATACATACTTGATCGTTATACATACTTGATCGTTGTAGTCTACTAGGACTTGATTGTGTTAACAAGAATACTTGACATAATCGAGTAAATATGGGAACCCAGGCAGTGCAATAATTAGCGCCAATAAAAATTGTCAGTTTGCTCTTATCAATTAAAAAAAAAGTCTTTGATATTAATGATGTAAGTACACTAAACTATAAAAACAAGCAATTATCATAGTATTGCAAGCAATCAATAAGTCCCCTACCGGTAAGAGCCCAAGCAACATTCTGAAGGGCCATTGGCCATTCACTTAGGTTCCTATTTAAGTAAATTTGTTGAAAAAGTTCTTTAAAAGTGATCACAGGAAACAGTTTTTATATACAGAAAGACCGACTGAAGGACACTCTAAAGTTATTTTATCAAAATATAACATTTTTAAAATCCTATCATGATTGAAGAAGTTGGAGTAAAAATTACCAATTTCTCAAAAAAAAGTCTAAGTTCAAAAGGGGCATAATTCTGGAAATAGTCTTGCTAGAGTATTGAACACTCACAAATGTTGAGTGATAATAAGAAACATTTATATGAAGTTTGAAGTAGATACATTCAGAAAAAGAAGTAATTAAAAAAAGACAATGTTTTTTTCATGAAAATTTTAAGTTCAAGGGAGGTAAATCTGATAAATTTTGTGCTAGAGTTGTAAACCTTGTCACATATGATGTGGTTGATGACAAGC